TTCAGCGGATGCGGGGTGCATCACGGTGCACATCACACAACAAGACAAACGTGTGGCCACATCTACCCCTGTCACACCAATTTGCATACCGTAATGACACTCAGAAAAGCGCATGTGTGCCTATATCTGGGGATAAATGCACCCAACATTCCATATTTGTAACAGAATCGCAAGCGCAAGCACCTATACGTGAGGTCAATCGACCTGCAAAACGTGCAACTATGGCAAAAGCTCACGTATAAGCCCATGGGTGGAAAGACACACGGCGTCTATGTGCAAACTAGTGGTGTGCACGGGTAGTCGGGTACCCGTGCTACCCGTGAGGACCTCGGGTAGACGGGTACAGAACAGTACCCGAAAACCCGAAGTCGCAGATGACATCATAATTATACAGTGCACGTGTACAAGATCATGTCCGTGCGCATGTCTGCCCAGTGTGTAAGGGAAGGGGACCATTTTGGTGTTACCATGGAAACATTACCTGATCGGGTACCCATTCTACCCGTCGACAACTATCCGAACCCGATACCCGCCTCAGCCCTGGTGCTAACCTATGGCCTAGTACAGTTGCGCTCACTGAAATCCGACCCAAAGTGCAACACTGACGCCCTGGACCAGTTCTGATGACATCACTGCACTTGTTACATGTGTGCGTCCAGCCGCATTCAACCCACTTCCAGGGCATCAAGCAAGTTGAGGGCGTCAAACGTGCACTATGGGTCGGATTTCGCCAAGCGCAACTGCAGTATGCTGCCTCAGTGTTTACCATTTTTTATATATAATATATATTTTTTAACAATGATCACAGCTCACAGGCAAAGACAAACAATTGCATAGTGGGAGCATAGTGATGGTGAGGCCCGCTTTTACCTGTAGTCCACGTGTAGATGACTGGTACCCAGGACACTCAGAGAGCACACGTCGTTGGCCTGGCCGAGGTCGACCGACACGCTCAGCAGGTCGGAGTCGAACGATCCCGTGAGCGAGAGGATGGCGCCGTTCGCCGTCCTGATCGTCCGGGCCGCCACGGGACGACCGGTTTGGCTGTCGGTAACCTGCGCGGGGAGGTACGAATGACAGGCGAATACATTGGAATCAACCGAACCGCCTCTCTCAACCCATGCCATTGTTGTAAAGATAAACATTTCCCATGAAAACAACAGTGTTCATACTCTGAGGGAATGGAAAAGGGAAGTCTGAAGGAAAGTGATGACTGTCACCACCAAAACTTGAACCAGGGACCATCACTTGAGGTCAGCGATGCTTCAACAACTGAGCTGTTGTGTAGCCTGTCATGCCAGCAGGCACTGTTCAAGATTTTCTTCAGACTTCGAAACCCATGCTTCCCGTGATACTACACAGCCTGGTGGGACGCAGTCTTCACTGTACTCACACACTTCACGCATGAAATAATACGCAAGGTGTGTTGAGAGAAGCGGGGAGACTACTGTCCTGGACATGGAAATCCAGTCGAATGACCGGGGCCGGTGCCCCCAATGCGTACAGAACGGTGCATGCAGCGCACAATCATGTTCGTCCGATGCGAACAGCGCGCTGCGGCGCATAAATGAACGTGCGCGTGCCGTATCGTATGCATGCTCACGGCTGCGTGGCCAGCGCCCCGTGGGCCGCTAGGCGTGCGACCGGATTTCCATGTCCACGGCAGTAGTACATGTAGTCATTTTCCCCCCGCCATCCCCCCGCCCCCGCCCCCCCCCCCGCCCCCGCCCCCGCCCCCCTCGCCCCCGCCCCGCCCCCCCCCCCCGCCCCCGCCCCCCTCGCCCCCGCCCCCCCTCCCCCGCATCAACGCATACATGTCTATTGTCATGTCACCACCGTTGTCCATTGCAGTCAGACCTCGCGTAACCGCACACATCCGTTTTCCAGAAAACAATCCGGATAGGCGAGGGAACCGGATAATCGAACACACATACTGTGTGTGTGTGCATGGCATGTGATGTGAATCGGTAACCAACGGTTTTCTTCCGGATGGCGAGGGATACGGATAAAAGAGGAGCGGATAAGCGAGGTCTGACTGTATATTATCCGTGCATGCGCTAACTCACCGATATTCTTGGTGCAATGAGTGGTTCAGAGCACATGATGACAATGCTGATGTTGGCCGTGGCCATGTCAAACGGTATCAGCAGCGATTGCTCCGACGACTGATCGCTTGCTATCAACTCCTGCCGAAACAGGTGAACAGGCATTCCTACAAAGCAAGTGGGTATAGAGACAGACAATGTTAGGTGATTGTATTCAATTGAAAACATGGAAATAGTGGGGCGCACGTTATGCGTTAGAGCCCACAAACTAGACCAGATTCTAAACTGTGAGATGTGCACACTCTAGCACCAAACTAACAAGGAGTACTGAGACATTCCACGGCATCAACGTGAGCTGGAGCACTGTTCAATAGTGCTAACCAACGGGAGTTTAGTGATTATTCCGCGGAGGGTTTCAGTTTCAATTCCACAATTGCTCCTGTTCCTCTGTTTTTTTGCCTGTACATCACCTGAGGAGAAGGCATGGAAGTTTACTTGTAAAATATTTCAAACATTTCAAAGGGTTGGTGTTGAGGAACCTGAAGTTTGTGCTCACTCTTAGTGTTCTTCCAGCTAAAATTCCCTCCCGTTCGTGATCGGGCGCATGATTGTTTCCCCACTTCCATCCAATATGCCACCGCCCCCGCTGCGCAGCATCTGATGGTTCTGTGGTATTCAGTAAAAAATATAAAAAATTGTCCCGCGTCGTGAAGGCACCATGCAAGGCACTTGCTGGCCAGGGGATAGAGCAGACCCACCATGATGCCTTTCTTAGTGTCCTTTGCAGTTTAAACCCCTCACGTTTTTGATTGCATGATTGCATGATTCTGACCGGTGGAATGCACTGCCACCTGCTTACCGCCTTTCTAGTTCACCTGCTGAATTTCGATCATCCATCAAGACTTTCTTAGGGTTCCCTGTAAGAAGGCGATGACGCCTGTTGGGAATTCCCTAGTAAAATAAGAAGAAAAAAAGAAAAAAGGCACTTACTGGCCAGGGAATAGAGCAGACTCGTCATGATGTGTGCCGCCTGGCCCTGACGCTGTGTCACCATCATCTGTCCTCCGGTGGCCTCGGCCAGGCGGTAGTAGATCGGGTGAAGTCGCCAGCCTGCCAGCATTGTGCAGTGGCCGGCTATGATGAAGTTGATCTGCCAGGCACAGGGATGCACAGAAATCACTTTGCAAGTGTTGCAATCAATGTGACGCAGGCTTTGTATACCCTAAAATCAAATTTTCACCAGTTGTAGTCTTCGGGGTACTGAATTGAATGGTATTGGTCCGAGGAAGCTGAGACGCTCCCTTCCTCCTTTATTCCCGGACGAACTCGCCACTTCAACCGAAACTGGGTGACTGCGCCCTACTAGATGGGGATTTGCATGCAAAAATTTGTATGCTGCGATGCAGCGTTCGGGCCTTATGTCCAATCTAGCACGGTTGAGTAAGTGGTAAAGTGCTCATGCGTACACCAGTCACCTGGTCACCATGTCCGCAGCTTACTTACAGCCTGTTTGGGCGGGTTCCTGTCACTCGAGTTGAACCTTTGAACCTTTGAGTGGAACCTTGGTGGGAAAGTTGTACAGCCTGGAGGCAGTTTTGTTGGAAGTGGCGAGTCCGAGTTGGAATATAGAAGGAAGGGAGCGTCTCAGCTTCCTCGGACCAAGACCATTCGACTAAGCACCCCGAAGACTACAAAGTACAATCATACAGCTGGCGAAAAATTGATTTTTTAAAATCAATTTTTCGCCAGCTGTATGATTGTAAGGAATACTTCCTCTGCACAACTGTAGGCATGGGGTGGGTTGGCTGACCTTGTCTGTCAATGTACATTGTAGGATAACAATAACAAGCAGACTTTTGAAGTATACACGCTAATGGTTTCAAAGTGGACTTCAAATCCATAACGTAACGTTACATGAAAGCAGAAAATGATAGTCCTAATAGAGCAACATACAATCATACGTACGCACGCACGCACACACACACAAGTACATGTACACACTGCACCGAGATCTTACCATGACTCGCTTCTGGAGGACTTTCTCCAGTACTATTTGACCAGCCACCTGATCCATCGGCTGGCTATCCGTAATGACAAGGATGACGGAGTTGTTCGCCACTGGCGAACTGGCCACGGCATTCCACAGTGCTCGCAGCGAGAACGTTTCACAGCGGTCGTTGTCGCGATGCAAGGGCTTGAGACTTGCGACAGCGGACAAGAGTTCTCCATCTTCCTTTGTGTCCACCGCCAAGCCCACACCTGACATGGAGGGGTGAACAATCACAAATTTACAACTACAGCCACTAGAGCTTACAAAAAAAAGTAGTAGAGGATAATAATGCATCGCTCAGACAACGACAGTGGAACGAAACGGAATCCCGATGATTTCTTGCCACAAAGATTGGTGTTGCTATCATACCCCATTTATCCGAACACCAAACTACGGCTACTTCGATCTACGGCCCCATACTGGGCAACCTTTGGATGACTGTTAGTGGAAATAATACTTGGGCCTTTTTTTTAACAAGGCACCGGTATAAATGTACTTCAGACGTGTAAATTGTGTACTCTAATTTCAGAAATTTTCGGTGCTCAATATTTTCGGTATGAGGGCAACAGGCTAGGCTATAAGTTAGGCGAACAGAAATTTTCGGTACAGAGAAGCAGTTCCCTATTGGATTATGTGTGTTAGTGTTTGTCCGGTGTATTGAAATTTTAGGTATGAAACAGACGCACCGAAAGTACCGAAAATAAAAGTACACCGAAAATTTGTGAAATTACAGTAATAGCCTTTCTTTACTAATAGGGCTTGAAAGTGCTACGTCACAGCATAGCAACAATTTCAAAAATTCAAAAACTGGATCCACTTGGATCCAGTTTTTGTATGGATCCAAGCACATTTCAAGCGGTCTTACCCACAGCATGGTGATGTAGCCAGTGAAACTGACTGATTTGGCTACTGGGGGCGGGGTTACAACTGGTGGCGAAATAAAAGTCACACCTGCATGCGACATGAGTGGGTTGCTATGCACCCACATACTTAGGCAATAGCAAAGTCACACCTTAGTGGACCCAAAAATAGAAATCTGATGTCAACTTACTACTCCCTGGCCGTTTTGACGTCATCACTTTCAAGCCCTATTGTACGACTATGACGTCTACATAACAATCATGATGGATCATTCCACAATGGCATGTACATGTATAGGACTTGTGATACTAGTATTCAGAATCATTCATTTCACGGTGCGGCACATTCTTTCTGTACATGAGTGGCAAGCTTCTCTCGCTGACCATCACTGCTTAGGTAGTAGCGGTAACATAATTACTATGACTGTACTTTAAGTACACAAAGGCACACAATGAAAACCTTGGCAAATTTATTCCGTTGTGACTCAGAGTTTCATGGCTGAACCAATCATCAGACAACGATGCTGAATCAGGCATTGAGCACTCTTGCAGAACCAAAGCATATTGCCTCTGTGTACTTTAAGTATAAAGTAATCGTCTGACCCTTTTCAGGAAATGAATGATGAAAGAAAAGGGAAGAAAAGCCAGAAGCTCAACAGACTAGAGTACAGTCCATGAAGAGTGGTGCTGCAAAGTGAAGCCTATACAATAGTCAATAATGCAGATGGGTGTCCAACAGTCCATCTGTGAAGCTGCATTGTACAGATTGTCGTACTATACATGTAGGGCTTCGCGTTGGAAAACGAGGGATTCCAACGTTTTCACGCTTCACCTACCTGAATGGCTGAACGGCAGCAGCATGAATCGGTTGAATGCCTTTTGACGGCCTTCTGCCGACGGTGCCACACTCATATGGCCGGGCGGCGCATCGGACGGTGCGTGCCCATGTAGGAATCCGTCAATGCTGTCCGAGACTCGCTTCAAAACCGACGCACGCAAGCTGCCGCGGTCTATCAGAACGGCGAGGGTTCTCAAGCCATCTCTGTACTCGGAGCTCCCTACAGCGTTTGCAGATAGCGACGGCAGCGTCCAGTCCCTATTGGGAATCTTGCCTGCTAGTGCCTTGTTTGAGTAACAACACAATAAGAAAAAGCACTTAGAGAGATGAAAGGGATCTTCCCTAACTGATAACTTTGGTGACAGACACTTTTTTCTTCAGCCCTTTCTGCATTTCCAATCTCATAAACTTTTAAAAGAATGCTGATGTGATGCTGATCACAAACTGTTTTCAAGTAATTAGTTGGTCGGAAACGCCACCTAGCCGTCTCCCACATTAGCGTAGTCACATATCCATGAAAGTCCGGAGTGGTAACGTTATTCAAGACTACTACACTACAATCACTACAATTGAAGTACTAGGGCTCGGAGCACTCCCTTCTCATCAAACTCCCAATCAATCTGTCTTTATCTCTCTCTAACTCTCCTCCATTCTAACTCTAATCTTTCGTCAAATCTGCACGGCAATCAGCCTCTACTTTCGCCTCAGCATCATGATCTTGATACTGCTATATTTGTACTTGTTTGCATACTTGTTTGCACTCATATCTTGGAATAACAAGTTTCCTGGTTTCCTACCCCCCCCCCCCCCTCCTCTCTTTCCTACCCTTAGAGTTCTTGCTCTCCTGCTCCCCTCCCCGCCCTTCCACTCCCCATTTTTGTTTCCTTTGGTGCACATGTGCAGCTGTGATGCCGAGACCCTTGGTCGGCTGAGCTTCACAGGTCCCACCCACTCCGTCCTGCTGGATATGTACCATTGTGTCGAGTTCTTCTCCTCATTTTAGTTCATCATGCAGTGAGTGTTCAATAGTAAAAAAAAAAAAAAAAAAAAAAAAAAAAGGAGGGTCACGGCTGTCTCTATGCTGCATTTAGTGAAGCGATTACTCTTCACTATCAGCCTCAACAGCACAAAGACTGTTGGTGTGCTGGTTGGGTGCCCGAGAGAGAGAGAGAGAGAGAAAGAGAGAGAGAGAGAGAGAGAGAGAGAGAGAGAGAGAGAGAGAGAGAGAGAGAGAGAGAGAGAGAGATAGAGAGAGAGAGAGAGAGAGAGAGAGAGAGAGAGAGAGAGAGAGAGAGAGAGAGAGAGAGAGATAGAGAGAGAAAGAGAGAGAGAGAGAGAGAGAGAGAGAGAGAGAGAGAGAGAGAGAGAGAGAGAGAGAGAGAGAGAGAGAGAGAGAGAGAGAGAGGGGGGGGGGGTTCTTAGGAGCAAAGTAGAGTAAAGTTTGCGCATCCGCGTTACCACCGGCTTACGATTGTGTTGAGAAACACAACCAGCTTAGAGCAGTTTCGCTCGGTGAGTAATGTGTGTAAATGATTGCTCTGGGGTATGACAAACATTCAATTTCTATAACGTGATCATTGCAGCAACTCAGGGCACAGATTTTAGGTGACACCCTGAAGTGTGAGCTTAAGTGGGCTACTGGATTCGGAGCTGCACAGCGTGAACTTGTATTCAGTGGTGTTCACACCTCGAGCGAGAAACCTATTTTCCAAAGGAGCTATTGTATTATCACAGGGTGAATGTTGGTACGTCTCTAGAGCTGCAATAGGATACTGGTTCACTCAGTGTGGCAGCATTGGAAGGAATCTGCATGGTTGGGATAGTGTGCTCCAGAGGTTTTCAAGTGGTGGCACAACACCGTGAATACAACAGGGTCCTTCAAGTGGTCAATCACTTCATTGGAGTGTGGAGTCCTTGAGAAGTGGCTCTGCCTCATAAAAATACAGTCATGTACTCGTCAGCCAGCACGTTCCACGTGCATGATTGTGTTCCATTCTTACCTGCTGAAGGCAGCAAACCAATATTATCCAAGCGGCTAATGCACTCCAATAAATCCTCGTTAGTCTACTCGATCCGTGCATAGTAGACGGGCTCCTCTTGGTTCCTACTGGCGTCCTAACAGAGCCTGTACACACGGTAATACGCTGCTGAAGGCACGCTACGCAGCTACTCTCCTCCATTCCTAGAATTCAGAGCAAAACGGAGAGAGCTGGAAAGGCGTTCTCCTTCTTTCTCTCTCTCTCTCTCTCAGAGAACTCTCTATCTTTCCGGCTGCGTTGCGACCTTCACGTCACCTCTTCACAACCGTACCTGCGCGGAAGCGAAGTCAAAGTGACTAGCTGCAATTGAAGTTCATCTCACCAGTATTACGCACATTGAGCTCGAATCCGGGTTCCTGAATATTGAAGAAACGCAGCATACCTTGCAGCAATCAATGTAGTTTGCAGTTGGTTGTACTTGCGATAAGTTGCACAGGGGCTCGGCATTCTATCGAAATAGCAGCGTTGTCGCTGAGTGGAGCTAAATCGGTTTGTTTTGCCGGCTTGTGGTCTCGAAGCCGACAAGTGGTGAGAGGCCTAATTGGCCTTTGTGCACGGCATTGTTGGATTTAGATGGTCCAGCTTTAGACTTGCAGACGCGCGTAAAGACAGAACGTGAAGGAAATGGCCACGCACTCCGTGACTCAACTGCGGGTTGATCAAGTGCAAAGAAAAAAGAAAGAAAGAAATGGACTTTGCGGGAAATGCCTGATTGTTCAACGGGGCTTTGGAAGTTTTCTGATCAAGCGCTCTTCAGTGTGAGTCCTCGACATCCTTACCCGCTAACATTATAACTCCACAGCAGCAGAAGCATGGCCGGGGTTGTAATATGTTCTAGTTAGAGCAGCGGAAGTACAAAGTACGTACTGATCTTGCGAGTGTTCTCTATGTTCAATATGCCAATTGAGTGGTTCAAAAGTGGAGATTCGTAAACAGTTGCTCCCCGTGCAGGTTGGAGTTAGAACAGATAACATTTGCGCTTCTTTCTAGAGATCCGAAATCGGCTTTGCCGGTGGGTCCTTTGCGTCAGTGATAGGCAACCGTTGAAAACCGTCAGCACCCGCCAGACGCAATACTGTATGGCCTATGCCTAGGGATTAGCAGGGTGCGCGGAGAGCACGCACACACATGCACTGCACACATTACGTGCACAAGATTCTTACACACCTATTGAGATGTTGGTAGAACATCGTGCGCGACATCTCTCAACGCCGGTTCAGTGTTTTCGGAACGCTACACGAAGTTGCTTCGGTAATAGCACTTCGAAAGTACTTCGAAAAACCTGTTCCTCACGGCCTGAAAGTAAACAATCCAAGAATAGATGATACAATGAAAAGGCGGAAAGCGTGTCAAAGCTTCTATGAAAGAGTCTGTCGTCCTTCCATTTGGCACAAAAATGAACTGTTCTATCTGAGAGACATGTACAATGTCATGCACATGTACATGACCTGTTGTGGACATGGAAATCCGGTCGCACGTCTAGCGGCCCCAGGGCGCTGGCCATGCAGCCGTGGCCATGCGGTAGATCTACACACATGCATTTAGGGGCCGTCCGGAAATATCGAACTTTTTTCACCAAACGAATTATTTTAGTTTAGACCCAACCCCTCCCTCCCTCCCCCTCAGAACGTAAACATTGTTGACATATACATGCATATACAACAAAAGTCGCAAGTGTGTCACTGCTCCTATGGCCATGTACATGTATCGAACTTTTCTGAAACGAAATTGGTCAACCCCCTCCCACCCCATAACGAAATTATTTCGTTTCGTGAAAAAAGTTCGATAATAATGGACGACCCCTTATGCGCTGCTGCCCGCTGGTCGCATCAGATCAACATGTGCATTGCATACAGCGTTCTGTACGCGCTGAGGGCGCCGGCCCCGGTCAATCGACCGGATTTCCATGTCCGCTACAGTACATGTAGCCTACTGATGTTGCTATAACCCATGGTTACCAGATTGGATGGAGTTGCGCAGGATGTCAGTTGCGTTTCTCGAGTTCTGGTAAGCCTGGGGTGCTGAGTGGACAGGATCGGCCAAAGCCAAGCCACCATACTTGACTGGCAGGGTGAGGAGCTGGTGTTCCGGAAGAAGAACCTCCCGCCCAAGGATGCGGCTGTGGCAAATTGCTCCAGGATGACGTCTCGAAGTGGAGCAAACTCCTCTTCAAGACCCTGGACAACACGCTGAAGGTATGACCACTCACATGATAAAGAGATCGATTCAACGCACAATATGCGGACTGGGGATATTTCCTGCCAGCAGCGGCAAGGTAATCGACACTGCTCACCCACGTCTCCACTCTCCCCTGGACAAACGATTTCACTCCGTCAGGTTCACCGATACAGCCTCCTAGGAAGCGGGCGGATGTGGCTACTTTCAGATCCCCGGAGATATCATTAGCTTGCTGAACGAGGTCCGGGGATACAATAATGATACTCTTTGTCGGTTCAACTAACTAGGTAGCCGAAAGCTTCACCCTGATCGATAAGGCGGTCGAGCCACTTCCTGATGTTGCGCAACCGTCCCTCACAAGAATAATAATCGGCGTACCAGTTTTGGATGTGCTAACTGGGTTCCTCCAGACTCTCAATCAGAGGGTGCAGACCAATGACATAATCATATATACACAGAAGCCTTGCTTGGTAGTTTAATTTAACATGTTTTTCGATTTTGACAGCATGTTACAAGATTATGGTTGTAGTCAGGAGCACTACGCGTCCTCGCCTTGTAACATGCTGTCAAAATCGAAAAACATAGTACAATCATGTAATGAGCATAGCCAGGGGACATCCCTGAGAGTAGATCTACAATGTACATGATGTAATACCTAAGTCCTTCCCGGCTAAGGGTTTCCACAAAATTCCAGAAAAAATCTCAAAATTGAAATTCAAAATTCAAAAATATTAGGCAAATTTCAATGATAGAATTAAAAAAAATCTCAAAATTTAAAAAAATTCAGCCAATCACTCGGGTTGCGCCGAAATTTCTGGATTTCACCATGGCAACACCATGGTAACGCAAAATGGTGGCCGAAGAAAAATGGTTGTGATCAATCTTCAGTCAATCTGCTTTCCAGTTCCGGTGATTATTATTATTATTGTTTTGATCCAAGGTTTCTCCACACAGGTCGATGGGACGATGGCATCCAACAGCTTACTGGAAACCCAAAACCAACATGCAAGTGGGTAATGTATGGCAAAATTCAACAAAAGGGACTCGAAATTCATAAAGAAATCAAAAAATCGCCAAAATTCAGAAAATATTCAGAATTTTTTGTGGAAACCCATATTCCCGGCTGAGAAGGGTGTGGACCTCACTGTCCTCAGGTGTACAGGACCCTTTCAAGATGATCACGGCGTACCCACGGTATACCGGTAGGCGTTGAATAGAAACCTTGCGCATCTTTACCTGCATCGACAAGAGGGAGTCCGTCTGTCTGAAGAATCCATCATGTACTACAACAGTACAAGTACATGTACATGTACATGTACATGTGCCATGACCCGCACAAAAGTCCAGAGCAAAGCCAAACTCAAAGGACGAAAAGGCGGAGAGAACCAACAGAGATGCAGGGTTTATGGTTACATGTGTCATGTACATACCTCAGTCTTTACTCAACGGTACTCCCACAGTCCCAGATATCTTGTCCGTGTACATGATTGTACTAATCGCTTCATTGAGTTACTAGTACACGGTGCATGGGTACCTCCATTGGCAACCACCCGGAAAATGCGACAACCTGTCCAAGGAGACCACTGCGACCAGGACTATACTAGTCGACTTCAGTATAAAACAAAAAACCCTGGATAAGGAGGCCACCTGGTAACAAAGACCACATTTTGAAGGCCCCTTGGACGGTCGTCTTACTCTTACTTAGTCTTAGTTATACAGGTTCCACTGACGTTGAAGTGTCACCACGCCCATTTATCACACTTGACGAGCTGATCAGCTGCTGGATATCACTAACTCACCGCGATCGCGCTCGACGAGTATCACTGCCGCTGGGAGCACGCCATGTGTACAATCATGTACCTGTACGTATGTATCAGTCACGTTACTTGGCAATGTGACAAGGAAAAGCGGAGATGTTTCCTCTTTCTATTGCCTAGTCAAAGCGTTCCAGAGCGACCATTCTCTAGTCGGATTGCCTCATTTGATGAACCAAGAGTGCTAAAAATCTAAGCGTAACAATCCTCATTCGCCCCAAAGAGTTGAAAAAAATGACGAACATCTGCTGTCCTGACAGGTCACGTAGAAATGTTGACATTCAACACTTCTCTGTCTCTTAGCAGTTTGAGTCACTTGTCCGGCCGAGTGGTTCTTATAGAGGATGGATCGAAGCCAGGAGCAGGAACAGGGTATGCGTTTCTCCACAGACTGGACGTGCTAGCGGTGGTACATGGTACGCTGATGTAAAGACAGTACATGTACATTGTATTAAATGTTAGTTTGGACATCTGTACGAACATTAATTTTCATACTTTAATACTGGACCCTTGGCCTTGTCCTAGCCTAGAGGTACCGGGCGTTGGCGTTCCTGCGGATGCGGAACACTGGTCCCCAAATGATTACTTTTATGAGTCGTGGATATCCTCACGCTGTCATTTCAGGCCAACACAGTCGACTCACAAGGTGTACGTCAACCTCTCCAGTCCAGCGTGTTGCAACGTCTCACCGGAACTTACTTAGTTTGCCCAAAAGCAAGACCTAGTCTACAGGTCTGCTACAAACCAATGGCCACCGCCGCCTGTGAGGATGGCAAAGAGTGTCGTCCGGATGCAAAGGCCGACAGAGTGATTGTGGTGGCTGGCAAGACGGGTAATGGCAAGTCGGCCATGTGTAATGTTGCCGCGGGTCGCTATGACGGTAGTTTGTTCCCTGAGTCCAACGGGCCGGCGAGTCACACGCAGGGTATCACCAGCCACAGCGTCAAGGTCGCGTACGGAGGCCAGGATTACGTGTTGAAAATCGTCGACACCATCGGCTTCGCAGACAACCGTTTCAGCAACGAGCAGGTGCTGCGTCTCCAAGCCGAACTGGGCAATGTCTGCAGTGAAGGCATCCACCAAGTTCTCTTCGTCACCAAAGGCAGATTCACCAGCGAGGACAAAGACAGCCTGAATTCGTTGATGGACGTAGTCTTTCAGCCGGACGTTGCCAAGTTCTGCACAGTGATTCGAACGTGGACACCTGCATCAGAGCTGGCTGATGGCTCGGTAACTGCGAAAACCGACGCATACAAACAAGAAGTGATCAGAGCTCATTTTCGTGTCAACGAGATCAGCACGTTTCTGATGGTGAGCAATCCAGACGACGGTAGCCCAGCCAGCATTCAAATGCGTCAGAGGTCGCGACAGAAACTCACGGAGCATATCATTCTCCACTATAGGAGCCGGTACACACCACCTACGTTCGCCACCATCACGGCCCGGATTGATCAGCGAATTAGCTCGGCCAAAGCAAAGCAGGACGTCGCGAAGAAGCTGACAGAGCAGCTGAAAACAAAATCCGAAATCGACGAGCGTCAGCGACGGGACGCGGAGGCCAGGAACAAAGAGCTGGCAGAAAAGAATGCTGCAGTGGCAAAGAAGGTGGAAGCAGCCAAAGCGCAGCAGAAGCCTCCGTCACGACCCGTGCTAGCCGCAGCATCCATGCCCATAGTGAAAAAGGTGCCGGTCGTCAAGAAGCTAAAAATCAAGAAGCTAAAATTCTGAATGTGACATTCAAGAATCCCTGGACATGAATGAAGGAAGCATATCAGCGTAGAACCTGTGTGAGTAGTAGGAGTAGGACTACAGATCCCTTATTCTCACGTACATCTATTACTACTAATACTAGCTAGAACTTATCCATGACCTTTAGGCTTTAGCTCAATATCGTATCTTTACCGTTTTTTCCAGTCAGCCATTACTATGGTTTATAACTAGGGGTGAAACAATTATACCGAGTACTCGAGTACTCGCTCGGTTTTTTCAAAAATAATCGTACTCGGAATAAATCAGAGTACTCGTTCATACATGGTACATGCATTTACTACAGAAATCTGCAGTTTCAGGGCAGCAGTCGGCAGATGGTGATGTGCAGGCTGTGTGGTGAACATTTGTTCACGAGTAGAGAGAGCCCAAATGACCCACCAACCGATATACCCGAGAAAAATTACTGCTACTCGGTTCAATCAGGGTTGTATCATGTTATTTTAAAGCCCTTGGTGTGCAATTTTTAGGAGATGAAAAATACTCAAATACTCGAATATTCGATCGGAGAAAATCAGAGTACTCGAACTCGGGATCTCAGTGCCAACTTTCACCCCTATTTATAACCTTTTGGCAACACATGATGTACATTGCCCTCATTGCCTGCTTGTGAAGCGACTCATCAACATGCCACAACAATGGCAGCATACTCTCTGTTTTCTTTCCACGCGTTTGCTGTGCAGTGAAGCGGAGGCCTAGGTCGGTGGTGTTGTAAACCACCAGTTCTCAATTGGGAAAGGCCTTCGCGCTTATGGCATTGTATTCGTTGAATGTTGTATTTCGACTCCGCCGTACCGCTGATGTTGCTGCATGGCATACGCTATATGCGTTGTGTGCGTTTTGCTGTATACGCTGTTATGTCCAGTTTTATATGCTTATGTTTTGCATGTACGCTGTTTCTGCATGCTATAAATAGCTGGTGTTATTAGTGTTCATTGTTAATTATCAGATGAAGTGAAATATACTGTGTAAAGGAAAAGAGTTGTCCTCGTGCCGTGTGGTCGTACGATCCTGACAATTTAGAGAATCTTAGAGGGTTCATAACATTTGGCGACCACGCCAGGATAGGAGCGAGCATGGCAGAGCAACTACACAATTTGGAAGCCAGCTTTATCGCCAATGGAGTTCGGTTAGGATTAGAAGGCGAGTTGTTGATGGAACATGTGGAGCAGAGGCTCCAACAGTACGAGGAGCGTGAGGAGCGCAGTGCCAGACGGCGAGAGGAGGCGCTCCGCACCGAGTTTGACAAAACACTAAAGGAGATTAACGAGCGCATCGCCAATGCGTATGAGGGTGATGGTAAAGCCGCGATGGGAGGTACAGAGGAAGCTCCCAGTAACAGCGGGGGGCGTCAACCGTTGATGAAAATCCCCTCATATGATGGAACGCAGCCACTGGAGCGTTATCTTGACCTGTTCGAGGACATCTGCTCCAAGAACGAGTTCGAAGAAAGCGAATGGCTGCTGCGACTGCGCATCGCGCTAGCGGGTAGCAAAGCGGAGAGGATATGTATTGGATGCAATAATTACGAGGAAGCGAAGCGAGAGTTGCTCGCCTCGCTCGGAAAGACTCCGGATAAAGCGTGGAAGACATTGCTGACAGGCAAGCAGCGGTCAGATGAGTCGTTTCACCAATACGTTGTCCGTGTTTGCCGAGAAGTAGAAGTGTGGGCCACACTCGCTATGACAGAAGATGGCGAGGTGGACACCAAGTATAGCGCCGATATAGGTAAAATGTCCCCGGTGCTGCAAGCAATGGCAAAGCAGGTAATCTTGGAGCAATGCGGACCTGAGATGAAGACGTACCTGGTCGAACGGCAGTGCTACGGGATGTCACTGCGCCAGGTACAGGAGCACGGCGCGTCTTACCAGGTCGCGCACGGACGACAGGGTGATACTGCCAGGAAGCCAGTAGAACGATCCGTGCCAAGGCCCACGGCGTCGGCACAGTGCATGGCGATATCGGTCGCAGATGCAGAGAAGCAGCTAAAGTCGCTGCCACTGGAAGGGAGAAAGGGTTTTCTGCAGCGAGAGAGACTCTGCTGGAACTGCCTGAAGTATGGCCATATGGCCAGAGAATGTCGGTCAGGCTCGAGATGTACGAAATGCCAGAGGAAACACCACCTGCTAATACATGAGGTGTTGGATAGAGCAGGTTACAGCCGGGAGAAACCGACTGAGATAGTTACGGAGAAGAATGTTGGGTCGTGCTGTCTACACTCGCCAAGTGTGCGGCTGATGACCGGAGTGGCACGAGTTGAGGGAAGAACTCGAAACGCGAAGGTTCGCGTGTTCCTGGACTCGGGTGCTGAGGCGTCATTCGTGACTGCAGCGTTGGTGTCAGCAATCGATGCAGAACACGTTGGGGTTGAAAATGTAGAGGTGAAGCCGTTCGGCGCGGAACCAACCCAACAGCGCATGGATAAGTACGCCATCACGATCCAGGGTAGCTCCACTAGCATTCGGGTACGCGCGTTCGTGAAACCAACGCTTGAGATGGACCTGAAGTGCGCAAGTCCGCAGACCATTGCCCAGTGGCACAGTTGGGGAGTAGAGCTGAGTGACAAGCCTCAACAAGGGACATCAGACGAAATACATATGCTGATTGGTGCAGACTATATCAACGCGGTACTGCACAGCAAGAAGGAAGTTAATGGTGAGACGGTGTGGAACACAGAGATAGGTAATGTATTATCTGGTCCAGCGTCTGCACCAAGTCAAAACAGTCAGCCGGTGACCGTGTCATGTGTCACAGCCCACATTGAACAACTATGGCAGTTGGATGAACCTCCAGGACAACATCAGCACCTGCCATCTTTCCCGCTATGTCGCCAGGGCAGCGGGTACCAAGTGGGTCTTTTGTGGCGAAATGAGCGTCGCCCAACGGATAACTTTGCTCAAGCTAGAGTCATCGCAACGCGGCTTCTTGAAAAGCTGAAGAGGAATGGGAAGCGTGCGCTCTATGATGATGTGCTGATCAGGGAGTACCGCGAGCTTGGAGCAATTGAGCTGGAGCCATGTGAGAGCGATGCCGAGTACTATGTACCGCATCATGGTGTATTCCGCGAGCACGCTGCAACCACGAAGTTAAGAGTGGTGTTCAATGCCTCGGCGACGGCTCCAGATGGCAAGTCGTTGAACGACATGGTTGACCCTGGACCGTCGCTATTACCGAGTCTCGCAGGTATGCTATTACGGTTCCGTGAATATAAGAGCGCGCTGCAAGCGGACATCCGCAAGGCTTTCTTCATGGTCGCGGTTAATCCCGAAGACCGTCCGTACCTGCGTTTCTTGTGGCCCGGTCGAAGCGACAGCGATGAACTGTTAACCTGGAGGCTAACGAAACTGCCATTTGGCGTAAACTGCTCGCCGTACATGCTTACTGCGGTGATTCAGCATCACTTGAAGGAGCTACGGGCGTTGTCTGCACCCAAAGAGCGAGATCGTATTGATCTCTTGCTCACGAGTTTCTACGTTGACGATTTGGTCTCTAGTGTGTCAAATGCCTCGGAAGCCAAGGAGATGCAAGAGTTCAGCGTGCGTGTGCTTACGGATGCTGGCATGGAGTTACGCAAGTGGCGAGGCAACGAAATCCCGTGCGATCCAGAGGCCGGAGATAAAGTCCTCGGTCTGAAATGGAAAACCAGTGATGACTTGCTCAGCATAGCAGCGCTAGGCGAGTCCAATAGGCCGTCTGTTTGGACCCGGCGATCCCTCCTCAAGTGTGTTGCATCAGTGTTTGATCCGCTAGGTCTAGCAGCACCGGCAGTTGTGCCGGGAAAGATACTGCTACAGCAAGCCTGGAAAGTCGGAGGCGACTGGGATGATATGTTGCCTGATGGCATCGCAGCCGCATGTGCGCAATGGTGGGGAGAGTTGGCCGAAGTGGTGAGCATTGACATACCACGTTGGATTTGCTGCAATCTTGACACGCCGATTGCGCTTCATGCCTTCGCCGATGCCAGTGAGAAAGCGTTTGGATGTTGTTTGTATGCAGTCGTCAATGGACAGTCGCACTTGGTATTTGCCAAGGCAAAAGTGTCACCTGTGTCTCCGCCCACGTTAGCCCGCCTTGAGTTACAAGCAGTATGTTTAGCGGCTCGCTACGCTGAGTTTGTGGTGAAGGAGCTGCGTGTTACCGTCACGCAAGTCTATGGCTGGACTGACAGTCTCACTACCGTTCATTGGATCAGTAATCCATCGTACAAATGGAAAACATTTGTGGCTAACCGCGTCAGTCAAGTCCAAGAGATATCGAAGAAGGTCGGCATTGTGTGGAACCATTGCCCGGGCCTTCACAACCCAGCAGATTTACCGTCGCGTGGGAGTAGTGCACAGCAGATCCGTAGTCCGTTCTGGAGGGGCGGACCAACCTGGATCACGGAGCCCAATGGCTGGCCCACCGCATCCTCAACCGCAGCTACAGATGAGTCCAGTGTAGAAGTACGAGTGTCAGCCACCACCTGTAGTCGAGAATCTGATAAGGAATGGTGGCTCCGATTCAGTAAATGGTCGAGGGCACAGGGCATGGTGACTCGGATGTTGCAGTGGAAGCACACTGAGCCTCGTGCTGAACTCTATTTTGCAGCAGACAACGTATTGTACCGCATCGTTCAAGCCGCATGTTTCGCTGAGGATCTTGAGCTGATCAAGCAAGGTCAACCAGTGAAGCCCGGGTCGAAGGTGTATCAGCTTGCACCGTTTCTGGATGAGCATGGAGTGCTCAGAGCCGGGGGACGACTTCAGCACAGCGAGTTGGCGTATGGAGCCAAGCACCCAGTCCTGTTAGGCAAACATCATCTGACCGATTTGCTGTTGGAGAAAATGCATGTTGAAAGGATGCACCAAGGTGTAGAAGGAGTCTTGTCGTTTATCCGTCAGAAATTCTGGATTATCGGTGGTCGACGAGCGCTACGCAACATTACTCAGCGATGTGTTACATGCCGCCGCTACAAGGCTAAGGCTGCCTCAGAAGTCTGCCCGCCGCTGCCAGAAGACCGAGTTGTTCACGAGAGGCCGTTCGCAACTACCGGCATCGACTATGCTGGTCCGTTGTACGTGCGCCGTGGTGAGTCATCTCCGAAGGTATGGATAGCATTGTTTGTGTGTGCCACCACCAGAGCAGTTCACTTGGAGGTAGTCGATAGTTTAAGTACCGAGTCATTTTTGATGGCATTTCGGAAGTTTGTCGCGAGACGTAGTTTGCCGTCTCGGATCAGGTCTGACAACGCTACAACGTTCAAGGCGGCATCTGACAAACTGAGTGTGCCATGGATGTTCAATCCTCCAGCTGCACCATGGCATGGAGGCTTCTATGAGCGAATGGTTGGTACAGTGAAGAGTGCCTTGAAAAAGGTAATGGGAACAGCGTTTCTGAAGGTTCAGGAGCTTGAGACCATCTTGTATGAGGTTGAAGCAGTGGTGAATAGTCGTCCGTTAACTTATGTGTCTGATAGCCTGGATGAGCCACCAGTAACCCCTGCAATGATGATGGGTAACATTTGGATGTCGTCAGCGAAGCCAGCAGGTACCCCGGACGCTACGCATATGTCAGCGAGATTGCGTTACCTCAGTCAGACACTGAAGCATGTCAAGAATCGTTGGGAGGTGGAGTACCTAAGTCAGCTGAACAAGCACCAACAGACCATGTCGCGCCCTTTAGCTGTGGGTGATGTTGTCTTTGTTCTCGATGATACCAAGCGCAAACAGTTCTGGCGTTTGGGACGGATCATCGAGTTATTCCCTGGTCGAGATGGCAAGCGTCGTGTTGCCAAGGTTAAGTTGAGTACCAGTACCCTGTTGAGGCCGATCCAAAGGTTAGTGCCATTAGAAGTATCGTCACAGGACGTGGCTCCTGGGCTTGCCGATACCGCTCAACCTGCTATCGTCCCTCAGCAGCCAGCGTATGAACCGCCAGCACCGTTACCACCACCACGGCAGCAGGAGATGACGCGTTCTGGGCGCGTAGTCAGAGCCCCGGATCGTTTTTGACTTGTGTGCATTGTTGTACGGCGGTGAGAAGCCCTTTGGTGGGGAGAATGTTGTAAACCACCAGTTCTCAATTGGGAAAGGCCTTCGCGCTTATGGCATTGTATTCGTTGAATGTTGTATTTCGACTCCGCCGTACCGCTGATGTTGCTGCATGGCATACGCTATATGCGTTGTGTGCGTTTTGCTGTATACGCTGTTATGTCCAGTTTTATATGCTTATGTTTTGCATGTACGCTGTTTCTGCATGCTATAAATAGCTGGTGTTATTAGTGTTCATTGTTAATTATCAGATGAAGTGAAATATACTGTGTAAAGGAAAAGAGTTGTCCTCGTGCCGTGTGGTCGTACGATCCTGACAATTTAGAGAATCTTAGAGGGTTCATAACAGGTGGAGCACATCAGACCACGTCCAGGATTCAAAACAAAATTTTACATTTGAAAGGAAGATGGAAACAATGGGGACGTATAACACCTAGGGCAGAGCTTGAACGGCTGCAAAGAGCATCAATATGGAAAGACCAAGAGAGACGATCAGCAAGCATTATTCCCAGGTGTTTATGGTTGGAAACAACCTTTATGGGTTCTGGGAAATCAGGATGGTGTAAAAGTGACATGGATGAGATTGGGGGAAGGAACATTATTTCGGTTTTAGTCAGGTTGGGTCTAAGTCGCCATGTTTGCATCCAGCGTAGGACACTGCATATCTGAGCCGACACTCGAGGTACAAGAGCCGCTGAGGACGAGGATGCTGACAGTAGGGTTGTATCATCAGCAAATAACGAGACACCTGGGTCTATAGAGGGTAAATCATTTACGTATGCTACGAACAAAAGAGGTCCAAGTATGGAGCCTTGGGGAACTCCAGAAGACACTGGTAGAGGATCAGAGTTGATGGAGAGGGCAGAAACAAACTGTGATCGGCTACTCAGATAGGACTCCAGCCAGGACAGAGCAGGGCCAGACACACCAAAGACAATATGTAGCTTGGCAAGGAGGCCACGATGCCAGACAGTATCAAATGCCTTTGCCAAGTCAAAGAAACAGAGAGCAATATGGTGTCGAGCATCACGAAGGGTGGCAATGTCTTGTACTAGACGAGCTAGTTGGTCAGAGGTTGAGTCGTTGCGCCGAAAGCCAGATTGGGAAGGGCTAAGGCATGGTGAAATGTGGCAATACAACTGGTCGTAAAATACCTTTTCACATACTTTTGAAAGGAAGCAGAGGAGAGATATTGGACGATAGTTTGAGGCTTGTGATCGGGAGCCTTTACACTTGTAGATGGGCGTGACCTTAGCGATCTTCCAACGATCAGGAAATACGCCGGAGGAGTAGGAAAGGTTGAATATAAGGCACAGTGGGTACGCCAGAGATGGAGCCAGAACTTTGAGAACTTCATTTGGTAGGGCATCAGGACCAGGGCTTTTGTTGCTTTTTAGTCTTTTTAGGTAGCTGCGAACAGATGATGTGGTGGTATGTATAGAGCGCAGATCAGAAGACACAGTCGCAGAACGTTGCAGAGGTGGTATTGGAGAGGAATTGTCGTCTGGAATACCAGCTGATGTGAATTGCGTATTGAGAGTATTAGCTATAGACTTGGGGTCAGTCACCATCGAACCATTGGAAGCTAATAACGGTGGTATGTCTTGACGTGTACTAGTTGTCCTTTGAGTGCGAACAAAGGTATACAGGTTAGGCCTGGAAGAGGGGTGAGATAGGGGGGTAGTGAGCGAACGTAAATATGCTCGATACTTAGAACGTGACAATGACTTCACCAGATTGCGCTGTTTTTTGTATAAAGAAATATTAGCATAGGTGGAGTACTTCTTACTTAAGCTATAGTAGTCATATTTGAGTTTAATTGCACCTTGGAGATCTTTGTCGAGCCAAGGGATCTTGGGGTTACGGCTGGACTGACGAGGGTGGTGGCTGCCATGTTTGGGTGTAGCGGGTCTTGCTCCGTTTTGTGGCACATAGAAGGAGAGCACGTCATCAAGAACTGTGGTGAACTTCTCCACAGCTTCATCAACAGTAGTGGAGGTGAATATAAGATGCCAGTCACAGGCAAAAAGTGCAGAGTTGATGATTGACCAAGTGGAGGGTGTAACCTTGCGGAAGGCATGTCGCGGAGGGGTAGGAGTCTGAGAGCAGTTGTAAGAGGTGTTAGCAGTGGCAATGTTGTAGGCTAGCGTTGTAATGACTTGCAAATGATCCGATGCACCAAGCGGGGCAGCATCGTCAACAGACCGTACAGAGAGGGGGCGGTTCGTAGCAAGCAAGTCCAGACAGGACAGTCTTCCATTCGGAGCGACACGGGTGGGGATTCTGCTCCATTTCTTTATCCACATACCAAACATGCATGAAACGTACCAGAAAAAGTACCGAATTCTGCCAATTTTACTGCCGGCATATCCGCATATGCCTAGTCGTGAGTTACCATCGGGAACGGACACGATAATTTACTTTTTTTACTTTCACATGTATATTGACATTGTCTGCAGCTTTTAAATACTTTTGAGCGAAGATTTCATACATGTATGTAGAGAAAGAAACTGCATGATGTTTACCAAGAGCATTCTTCTTGGGTGAGCAGCAGAAAATCTGTCTGTTCAGCGCTGCTTGGAGATCGAGAGGAGCAGACTTGTGACAGAACAACGCAATTAGTCATTTAGTGCACTCAGGCGAGACTCGGTCATGGTACTGCGGCGATCCGTCCTGATGAATTTCAGGACAGAATTGGAACGCTCGATTTCCGCAGATGTCACGGGTACAAGCTGCAGAATTCGACAAATGTTGGGTACGGTTTCTGGGGGTCACACTCTGCAACATGAGTCCACGGTACAATGATCATAATATTATTTTTCGCAACATAGCCTGCCTCGTAAGCACTGCAACTCGTTTTTTACTTTCTTGTATTTTTACTTTATTATTATTATTTTATTATTTATTACAACATCTCATGACTCGGCGGAAACACCGGCCAATGTTACGAGAGTGGGTGATTGACAACCACGGCGATAAATAGAAATAAGGGGAGGGAAAAAGAATAAAAACAGTGAAAAACACAGAGACGCAAAGGACATGTGGATAATGAGCTATGTATGTCGTAGTAAATAAGGGGCGGCACGGATCTTAAACAGGCGGAGTGAGGTCAGGTCCTTAACTTCTCTGGGTAGAGTGAGCCAAACAGAATAAGCAATAAAGAGAGGGGAGCGCAAAAGAGTGGATGAGTTACACTTAGGGAGTAAGAGCGAGTTTCTAGTTCTTAGAGAAGAGAACCAATTAAAACACATGAGATGAGGTGGGCACAACTCAAGCTTAATAATAGAATGGACAAGAGAAGCCAGGTGTGCACTGCGTCCATGTGATAACGGGGTTGTGTGAGCGATTTCATAAAGGGCGGATGATGAGAGCATGCGGGGTTGACGGAGGAGAATTTTAAGGATTTTCTTGTGATGTATTTCAAGCTTTGCAGCAGCGGAAGAGGATAACCCAACCCAAGACGTATCTGCATAATCAAATATTGGGCGAAGGTAGGCTAAATAAAAAAGAAGCTTGCAAGAAAGTGGGAGGTAGGAGCAGTGGGGGGAGAGAATTCCTAAGGATTTACTTGATTTTTTACAGATATATTCGATGTGAGGTACCCAAGAGAGTACAGAGTCAATCACAATGCCAAGGTGTTTGTGAGAAGACACTATGTCAATTGGATTTGGAAAGTTGGCATGGATGAGGGTTGTGAACTCCGGCTGGGGCGGGAAGAGCATGATCTTTGTTTTTGATAGATTTGGGGACAACCTCCAGGACGACATCCAGGAAAGAAATTCCTGAATGCCAGCACGCAAGTTGTTTTTCAGGCCAGTGAGGGAAGCTGATGAGGTGAGAAGGGTCGTGTCGTCAGCAAACAGAGACGTTCCAGGGAAGACTGCAGGTAAGTCGTTTACGTAAATTATAAATAGTAGGGGACCAAGAATTGATCCTTGAGGAACGCCTGACAATACTGGCTCTGCAGCCGAGGATGTGCCAAGCACAGTTACGTACTGATAACGCCCAGAGAGATAAGATTTCAGCTACGAGAGTGGTTGTTTGCGTACCCTGAATGCATGCTCAAGCTTTGCCAAAAGTCCTCGATGCCAGACGGTATCAAAGGCCTTGGCCAAGTCAAAGAAGCAAATGCCAGCAAGCGCTCTGTTATCCCTATGCTGGCACACCTGCTGCACGATGCGGGTCAGTTGAAGGGAGGTGGAGTCGCCTTTACGAAACCCAGATTGTGCGGGACTCAGAAACGGCGAAACATGTCTGTATAAGTGGTCATAAAAGATGCGTTCACATACTTTGGACACGCAGGGAAGAGAGAGATAGGGTGGTAGTTTGCAGGTTCGTGGCGGGAACCTTTCTTGAATACAGGTATGACTTTCGCTGTTTTCCATGCGGAAGGGAATATGCCCGTGGTAAATGACATGTTGAAAATATGGCACAAAGGGAATGCTATGGATGGTGCCAGGGCCTTGAGGACCCGGTTGGGGATGCCGTCAGGACCAGACGCCTTGCACGTCGGAAGCTTCTTCAGATGACGCCGGACAGTGGCAGTTGTGGTGATGACGGACGTGAAACAAGCTGAGGGCTCCGAGGGGGTGAGAATAGGGGGAATAGAGAGCAACGGGTCATCTGGCCGAGTCACAGAAGCAAACTGGGCGTTTAATGCCGTAGCTTTGGCCAAAGGGTCAGCCGCCTGCTGAATCCCTGTTGTGAGTGACGGAATTTCCCGTGATACGTTTCGAATTCTTGCTTGTCTCACAAACTGGTGAAGCGATGGACGGTGTCTACCCTGCAAAGTAGTTTGCACTGAGCGGATATAAGCTCTGTACTTTGTCCGCGTCAGGGTTTTCACTATATTTCGCTGCTGTTGGTATGCTTGTTTGTTTTGTTGTGTTGGGTACTTCTTAAAAATGCTATAGAGATCATCTTTCCACTTGATTGCTGTGCGGAGATGGGCATCAACCCAGGGTGGCTGACTGGGCCGTGGGCAGCGGTGAGAATACGGCTGCTTTCCGAATGGCCAGAGGTGCTTCTCAAGGGCACTGTTGAGAATGGAAGAAATGTGCGAAAGCGCATCATTGACGTTGCTGGCACGAAACCATGCAACCACTTCGTAAAACCGGAAAGAAGGAGGAAATGACCAAAACAACAGACTAACAAGACATTGACTGAACGGGGCTGCAATGCAAGACAGCGGTGGTGATGGGATGCTGCAGGCTCCGCCGACCAATGGTCTCGTCATCCACGCCTACTTCACGCATCAGAAAATCGGGAGAAGAAAAGGGAAGAGAAACAAAAGAGGCAGTATAGTGTGGAGGCGGAGGTAGAGAGGGGGAGAGAGAGAGAGAGAGAGAGAGAGAGAGAGAGAGAGAGAGAGAGAGAGAGA